GCCCGCTCTGCACGGGACGCACACGCCACGAGCTGTGGCCGCTCCGATTGGGACCCGACTGCTGCTGCTGCTCCGCCGCCGCCGCGCCTGGGAAACGCAGACCAGCTCTCACGGCCGGGCGAAGTCTTCCCCCGGCTTCCAAAGTGATCATGGAGGAGACATCTGGCCCCGATCGCGCCCGCGGCTACTCTTGCGGCAGGCAGCGGGCAGGACTCGGGTGCCCTCCGGCTGGCAGCAGCTGCTCCGGCTCCTCCTCCGCACCTCCTTCCCCTCCCCTTTCACGGTTCCGCGGCCATCCCTTAAAGGGACAGTCCCGCTCCTTTCTGCTCCGGCCCTGCGCCGCAGTTACCAGGCGCCGGGCGGGTCACTAGGAGCCGGTTGCTAAGGCTTTGTTGCCGTTCACCAATTGCTTTACGGGAAGCAGGGCCCTAGACCCTGGGGAGCCGGGCGGGGCCTCCAGGCCAGAAATTTATGAATGAAACGTTGGATTGGGAGGGAGTCAGGTCTCGGAGTGCGCTCCAGAGGCCTCGGAAACCAGAAAGCGCCGGCTCCTCTGCCTTTTCGGCACCCACTAAGTCTTCTCCCTCTCCAGATTTTTCTCTCTAATTCCCTTTCGTTCTCTCCCCGTTTACCTGGGTTCTTCTAAACTCTTGCATGCGTGCGCACCCGTACTCACATGTAAAGACCGGGGCTCCGTGCCCTGCCTCACTTCTGGCCCGTCTTTCAAACAACCCCATCCCAACACTGAGGGGCTTCACCTTTATTTTTTTAAAAATAGTTTTTTGAAATCAAAAAAGCGCTACCTCCTAGCTCAGATGTACACGTACTGATTTCCTCTACCCGAACCACACTCTGATATAACTTGTGCTTTGTTCTCACGGGAGAAAACGTCCCCATCCGGTCCTCTCATTGGGGCGGCCACCGTGAGCGCAAAACCATCACAAATGCCTCCTCTGCACATCGCCCGGGTCTCGAGGGGCGGGGCGGGACCGCTGAGCCGGCGCCTGCGGGGGCGGGGCGGGGCGGGGACCGAGGGCGACGGAAGGGCCACTTGTCCACGATGGAAATTAACACAAAGAAAAGTCTCTGTAGTCTTAGCTGGGCTTTCTCTCAGAGGCGTTCGACTTGTTCCTACTAGGCTCTCGGTACTGCCCGAGCAACTTTAGTACTGGGTGTCCTGTGGACGTGCCAAAGGAACGGGTAGTCCTTTCTTGACGAAAATGGCGCTCCAGACCCACGACCTGGGGAGCCAGCATTCTGGGCGGTTTCTCCAGAAACAGGCAGGATTCGTACTAGCAGGCTGGTTGCTTGTCTACCTCTGGGGAGAAAGCAGGCGCACAAGTGAAGAGCCCGCGGTCTGATTTTGAGGGTGTCCCCTGAGGCCAGGGAGTGAAACCCAGAGCACGGGGTCTTTGCCCATCAGCCTGCTTCACAGGCTCTTCTAAAAAACCGAACAGGTACAGAAAACCATAAATGGAAATTGCTTTGCTAATCCGAAAACTGATTCGGAGCATCTCATTCTAACCCAACTTGCTCTTAAACAGAAGCTATGCTAACATCCTAGAACCACATTTTAAAGCTAGAAGAATCACTAAAGATTTCCTACCGTTCCCTAATTTTTACAGGAGGAGAAGAAAACTCAACAGGTGAAAAAGAGTTGTAACAAATGTTGATCTTTGTCGAGGTGCACTGGGTGTTTCAGGGTAAGTAGCCATGGCTATAGAGTTCTAAAGAAGGAAGAATCCGGGTTATGTTGTCCCTGGTGAGATGAATTTTGCCTGATGTTAATTCTCTCAAATTTGGGTGTCAATATGTCTTGTTGGCTAATTCAAATTATTTTATTGAAGAAATTCTAATCCAGATTTGTATATGTGAAAGACATGGAAAAGCAAACTATACTCTCAAATGTACCCGCTTGGTTTAAAAGGCCAAGTGCAGTGATAACAATTTATTTCCAAATTTGTTCATTTAAGATGTTGCAGAATCTGAGCTCAACACTTTTTTTTTTTTATTGCCAGAGGATATATGTACTAGCCAGAAAGACAGAAAGAAAAAAGAAGAGTGCATCCCTCAATAGGACATGGTCATGCTCCAATTCCCTCTCCTTCATTTCTTCATGCCATCATAATTTGGGGCATGCACATACATGTGCCAGGCATGTTTTACTATCCACCAGGGCCAGGATTTGAACTACAGTCAGCCATGTGGGATCTGGCTCCCTTAACCTCTAGGTGGTAGGTCCAGCCCTAGCTGCACTGTATTTTTTAAAGTATATTAAAAATAGAAGTCAGGGGACCAGCAGTTAGCGTAATGGCTAGTCGCTGGACTTCCTTGTAGTCAACCACGGTTCAAGTCCCAGATCCAGTGGCTTAAAACTCACACCAGGCGCATGTGTGCCCAAGATCCCGAGAGGAGAATGTAGGAGAAGGGATTGCGGCGTGGCCATCCCCTCTGGGGTGATGTCTCACTTTCTGTCTCTCTGTCTCTGTCTCTCTGGTGAGCACACGTGCCCTATAGCAAAAACTTCTCAAAAAAAAAAAAAAAAAAAAATAGAAGTCAGAGTTCTCATCCAGTATATAGACTTTTAATTTCACGTAGTCCAATGAAAAGAACTCCAACACTTTCAGATAAGACAGTCTTTTTTAAAAAAAGAATTATTTTATTTAATTTTATTCATTTGTTTATTTCAATTTTACCAAATAGAAAGAGAGAGAGAGAGAAAGCCACCAGGTCCAGGATTCAGACCACGGTTGACCATGTGAGAATCCAGCACCTTTAACCACCAAGCTACTTGCTGGCCCCAGAGAAGACAGTCTTAACTGAACACCTTCTTATTTTCTGAAATGAATTTACAAACTTTTTCTTTACATAATTCTGCTCAGAAATTCTGATCATGAATGAATTATGGCTCAATAAACAGAAGTCCTTAAATCAAAATGAAAGCTATTTTTCCTTAGAATATTTAAAAAATGATTTTGATATCTATGAAAGTAATAAGACTACAAGTAATTTTTAATGATGCATGAAAGAAAAATCTGTCAGTATAATTGAATCTTTATAAACCAAAACCTGCACAATCTAATGGCATAGAAAATTCTACAAGAAAAATATGAACCGCAAGGCACATGCACACAGCACACAGGTATGCCAAAGTTCTACTGAGATCATCAAAGGCTTTATCCTCAATTATGAGGTCAAAGTTCCTATTGGTTGTAGTTTCATAATAAAGGCATGCTTATATAATCGATAAAGGAAAATAATGAAAGAAACTTCTTTCCAATCACACGACAGAATATAAATGTTAAGGAACTGATATTTAAATAGTAGAGAAAGTTGTTTCATACATTAAGAAAAGACTGAGAGATCTAAGATGTCACTCTCACCTGCAGAAAAGAAAGGTACTATTACACACCGAAATTTAGCAGATAGGAGTAGAAATGGCCTAAATGTGAAAACAGTGATTAAGACATCTCTGTAACTATTGCTTGAGCTCGCCTTGAACACTCTACGCTTGTGTACCCATAGAGCTAGGAAACTCCTGGCTGGAGGCAGCTCCAAATTCTTCCCACACCCTCTGCTTCTTAGAAAGCACATCCCAGGGGGATGATCACACCATACTTGGAATTTGGGGCACACTCGCACAAGGGCCCAGCCCGTTTTCAAGTCCCTGTTTGGAACTCGAACTGCACTTGTAGGATCCAGCTGCCTTAACTGCCAGGCCACAGATTGACCCCACCCCCTGTTCTAATTCTGCCCCTTGAAGCTGGGCTAAGTCCCCTGGTCAATATTACACAGGACACTTCCAAAATGCAAAGGCAGCTCCGTCTAATTTAAGCCTTCCCCTTTCCTTAGTCTTCCTCAGATTAAAATCCCCGTTTATTCAACCTTTTCTTAAATTACATGGTTCCCAGCTCCCTCAATTTCCAACCCAGTCTCTTCTCCAATGTATCTATATCAGAAAAGTGTGTCCCACTGAATGCAGGCCAGTGGTGATATGTCGTGACCAGTTCTGAAATCAGGACAAAGCGCTGATGGAAGAGGCAGATGGGAGCAAAAACAATGAAAAGCATTAAAGAACTAAGTTTTATCATTTAATTGCAAAGCAAAAAGTGTTCTCTCTTGTTGGAAAAGGGCAAGTAAACCTGTGTTCAGGATAGTCAAAGGCCTGACAGTTGTGACATTTCCACATTCTATTATTTTTTAAATGGCCATCCTTTCTCTTTAAAATACATCATTAGAACATGTTTTTAGTTGCTTGTTCAGCAGTGACAAGTTATCTAAGCAAGTAAAATAAAATATTGACTATATACTTTGAATTCTTTCCAGAAATTAATTTTCAGTTTAAGTATGAAATGAGCAGATGAAGGGAGTTGTACTGCTGAATAATTTGAAATTCAAAGCAATGTGAATTGTTTAAATATTTTGATAATTTCTTATCTGGTTCTAAAAAAATTTAAAGCAGCCTTTAGTAAAATACACACACACACACACAAATTATCATAATAGATCCAATGTTCTAGAAATATATAGATGGGGAGGCTCATTAAATATTAGGTCATCAGGAAAGTCATGACTTTTTCTATGTTTTCTATGCAAAAATGCATCATGACTTCCCCAACAACCAACAATTGCCACCATTGCTAAAATCTTGGTATAACCCAATCATAATCTGCATCGCACTAATCACCAACGCTTGTTGAAGAATTCTAAACCAAGGCAGCCCCATGGCCTGGTGGTTGGTTAAGGGAGCCAGATGCCACATGGCCCACATGGCTGACCCTGTGGTTCAAAGCTCTACTCTGGTGGCTTGAACACATGCCAGGTACAGATGCATGTGTGTCTCCAAATTCTGACAGGATAAAGAAATTAAAAAAGGAATTGTGGTATGACTACACCCCCATTACCAGGTGCTTTCTCCCTCTCTCTTAGTCTCCCACTGGGGAAAAAAAAAAAAAAAAAAGAAGTTAGATCCAGAAGGGACTTAAGAGGTCAGCTAGTCCAATTTTCCAACAGACTCTATGTAGTCCGAGGTCCAACCTGGATGGGTATCCAGGGCTTTAAAGAAAAAAGATTGGGGGACCAGCAGGTAGCATGGTGGTTAAGAACGCTGGACTCCCACATGGTTGACTGTGGTTCAAGTCCTGGACCTGGCGGCTTACTTTGTCACTTTCTCTCTCTCTCTCTCTCTACCTCTCTGGTCAAATTAAAATAAATAAAGTTAAATAAAATAATTCTTAAAAGAATTTTTTTTCAAACATAATATTGTCATTTCACCATCTACTTGCCTCAGCCTCCCAGCTAGGACTACAGGGGTGCACCACTGTGTCCTGCCTTTTTTTATTTAAAAATTTTATTTACTATTATTATTACTATTATTATTAATCATTTGCTATAGGGAACGTGCACTCAACAGAGAGAGAGAGAGAGGAAGAGAGAGAGAGGAAAAGTGAGAAAGCAAGCTGCCAGGTCCGAGACTTGAACTGTGATCAGCCATGTGGGAGTCCAGTGCCTTAATCGCCATACAACCTGCTGACTCGGTCAGTCTTGCTTTTTTTTAAGACAGTGTCTCACTGTGTTGCCCAGGTCATCCTCTAGCTCCAGAGCCTGCTGCCTCACCTTCCCTTAGTTGGTGGATTATAGATACACGCCACTGCTCCAGCTTTTAGGTTGGATCAGAATCAAATGGGCCCTCCCATGTGGCCCTAGCCTGTGACACAGCGTTTTACTGGTGTGCGCCACTGCACCAGCCAGAAATATCTTGTTTGTAAAGAGTATATTGCAAAATAGAAGGGAAAAGGGGGAATAAAAGAAACGGAGGTCTCCGGTGGGCAATTAGTTGCCCAAAGTCACATAGTAATAGAAGTAAGATCAGTATTCATTATGTGCTCTAGTACTAACAGCCTTTTCTTAATTTTCTGCTAAATTAGTTTAAAATACATTGTTTTAGATTTTAGGTCTTGAACTTTTGAAACAATAAAGCATCCAACAGTAACAACATGTATGCATAATATTTATAGCTATTATCTCCAGAAAAATTAGAGACAATATTGAAATCATCTAAAGCTCAGAATAAAACAATAGAAGATGTTGTATTTATCTGCTATTGCTTTCATGTGGCTTCTTCCAAAATTTGAAGTATTCTTTCACCCCTATAAGTTGGCAATAGTACATCAGGATTTTACAGCTTCTAGTCTAATAAATAGTGGGGTTTGTGAAGATTAAATAAGTCAATTCAGTAGTCATCTTACTCTTGACTAATGTAGCCAGAAAATAATGGTGCACTTTTAGAAATAAGACCAGTTTTCATTATGGTAAAAGAAAAAAAAAAAAAAGTTCCATGACCTAGAAGTTAATAGCAGTCACTTTAGTGACCAGTTTGCTACATTTGTCAAATGGTGTAACAACTCAATGAATTTTTTAAATTTTACAGAATTTACTCATCTACATCTCATTTGTTTGCCATTTCTGCTCTTTTTAGAGAAGATGTGAGCATTTTTTTTCTCCAAAAATATGTCAAATAATTTTCCCCACACTACTAACCCACCATCAGCAACACCTCAACTACCCCACTTCCACCGCCATCACCATGCTGAGAAATGATAGTGAACTTTCTCATTGCCATCTCGTTTGGAATGTTCACTACCACAAAGACATTTAATACATGTCTCTGCTACACATTTTTTATCATGAAAAGAATAATAGG